CAATATCTTTAAACTTAACATTACAACCCGTGACTCGTACCAATATCTTTAAACTTAACATTACAACCCGTGACTCGTATCAATATCTTTAAACTTAACATTACAACCCGTGACTCGTACCAATATCGTTAAACTTAACATTACAACCCGTGACTCGTATCAATATCTTTAAACTTAACATTATAACCCGTGACTCGTACCAATATCTTTAAACTTAACATTATAACCCGTGACTCGTACCAATATCTTTAAACTTAACATTATAACCCGTGACTTGAACCAATATCTTTAAACTTCTGCGCGAGCTACTAAAACACTAATGTTGTGTGCAGAGGAATAACACTTCCGGTTTTTGTTTGATGTTTTTTTTTATTTAGGAGATTAATTTCTCCAGCTATTGAAACTAGTTCCTAACAGTATTATAAGGACTGAAACTGGTTCCTAACGGTATTATAAGAACTGAAACTGGTTCCTAACAGTATGATAGGGACTGAAACTGGTTCCTAACAGTATTATAAGAACTGAAACTGGTTCCTAACAGTATTATAAGGACTGAAACTGGTTCCTAACGGTATTATAAGAACTGAAACTGGTTCCTAACAGTATGATAGGGACTGAAACTGGTTCCTAACAGTATTATAAGAACTGAAACTGGTTATAATGGTATAAGGACTGAAACTGGTTCCTAACAGTATTATAAGAACTGAAACTGGTTTATAATGGTATAAGGACTGAAACTAGTTCCTAACGGTACTATAAGAACTGTAACTGGTTCCTAACAGTATGATAGGGACTGAAACTGGTTCCTAACAGTATTATAAGAACTGAAACTGGTTCCTAACAGTATGATAGGGACTGAAACTGGTTCCTAACAGTATTATAAGAACTGAAACTGGTTTCTAATGGTATAAGGACTGAAACTAGTTCCTAACGGTACTATAAGAACTGTAACTGGTTCCTAACAGTATTCAAAGGATTGAAACTGGTTCCTAACAGTATTAGAGAACTAAAAATGGTTCCTAACAGTATTATATAAACTTAAAATGATTCCTAACGTTATTATAGGGATTGAAACTAGTTTTTAACAGTATTATAGAACTGAGAATGGTTTCTAATGGTATTATAAGGACTGAAACTGGTTCCTAACAGTATTATAAGGAATGAAACATGTTTCTAACAATATTATAGAACTGAACCTGGTTCCTAAAGGTATTTTAGAACTGAAAATGGTTCCTAACAGTATGATAGGGACTGAAACTGGTTCCTAACAGTATTATAAGGAATGAAACATGTTTCTAACAATATTATAGAACTGAACCTGGTTCCTAAAGGTATTTTAGAACTGAAAATGGTTTCTAATGGTATTATATGGACTGAATATGTCAGATTGGCGAGGCGTTAGGTCAAATTGATCATTTTGATTTCTCGTTGTTTGTTTGTTTTTTTTGTTTTTTTAGAAAACGGTTTTAATTCATATGATTAGAAAAGCGCAACCTAGTATTATTTTGAATAGTGGCTAAAGTGCTTGGTATTTGCCGATTTACGTCAAAGTTTCGTAAACGTATTACATGATTACTTAATCACAAATACATTACAATGAATTGTTTG